TTAAAAAATTTATTTATTATTAAATAATTTAAATTATATAATTTAATATAATTTAAATTATACAATAATTTTTTAAAATATTATCATGCTGTCGTAACTAGGAAACCAACACCGTTACTTCTTCTGCTTTTAAAAAAAAAAAAAAAACGAGAATTTTTTAGATTAAAAAGTATTTTAAATATAAAATACGAAACATTATTATCCTGCCATCAACTAAAAAAGAACAGCCATCACTACCAGACACTTCTCCTGCTTTCTTTCATTTATTATTATTATTATTATTTTTTTAACATGAAAGAATATGGGAATGAAAAAATATTTTTTTAAATAATAAATAAGAATAAAATTTTTTACTTATTGCATTTGGTACTTATGCTCTAATGACTAATGTCATTAAAAAAATACATATTTCCCTTTGGCGGGTTTCTGTCCCATAGCAAAAAGTAAAAAAAAAAAAAAAATTTTTACCTATATGAATCTAAGCATTTAAGTTCAAACGACGAATCAATAGTTTCGATGAATTGGTACCACACTTCCCCTGCTTCATTTTATCATGTGGAGAGTCCAAAAAATCATCCAAACTGATTGGGACAAGACATGAAAGTTGTTAGTTTCTCATTAACATCTTGCATTATTGTTCATGTTCTGAACCACTAAGAAACTCGTTGACACGTAAGCAATAATGGGTGGTGGTTCTTTGAGGGCCATCATCAGCCCCTCTGACATTTTCCAGACCCATTGAGGATGAGGAGCTTACATGTCGCAGATAGAATAGTGCATTTAAGAAGAGAGGAAACACGTAATGGACAACGTGGCATGATTTTGGGACGGGTAATCAGAGAATTCATGACACTTGTCAACGTGGATTCGAGTTTCAAGAAGACTTAGACAAATACATTAAAAAAGAGATGAAACTAGGGGGGCCCGACAATGATATACTGACACCGTTGTCCCGCAACGTGTAGGGGTACTCAAGCTTTTTTATTCTGATCACAATGGTCACACTAATAATAATTGAGAACTTCTTCCGAACGACCGTGGACATATTACGTTGGCAAAACCCTCAAATCAACCATTGACAAATATGGGTAGGTATAGATCCATCCTTAAAAAAAAAAAAAAGTAAGGACAAATGATATCTTAAAAGTATCAATTTACCCAAATCGATCATTATCTAATTGATGATATCATCACCATCACGATCTCCGTTTAGCCCATGCCAGCATGTCCTTTTTTTTTACGCTGGATGCTGATGTGTACAAATATGGGTAAGGATGAATTGGTGGGAACCATGACCGACATCTGGTGAAGAAAAGACATCAGCATTAAAAAAAAAAATCTGAGGACCAATTTCATCTAGATTCAAGTTGCCGACGGGATTACCTGGAAACCCGGCCCGTATACCTAACCTGTTGTGAGACAGTGACTGCTGCGAAGGAGGCCATTCAGATGGCGACAAGCCCAGAGGCCTAGTGCTACTAGAAGACCTATCACTAACAAATTGGGCAACATGGGGCTGCTGCTTTAGAACAGCCCATGCCAATGCACTTCGTTGTCTCATTATCTGTTGCTCCTGTTTCAGCTGCAGAAACTATAGCAAAAGACAAAAACCATCCAATTAATGACGACTAACCAAAAAAAGAAGCACAATCTTTCAGTGAACAAATGGAGTATTTTCTGTTTGTGCTTGCCTGAGTAGACTGCAACTTATTGTGAGAAAGCGAGTGGGATAAGTAAAACCCACCAACGTCAAGATTTGTGGGAGGTTTCTTTGTGGGAGGTTTCTTTGGGGGAGCGAGGAGGCTTCTTTCATGGTTGAATGGTTCTTCCTTACCTTGCATCCTTGTAACTTCCACCGTAGCCGCATGTAGCAGATCCCAAGTTCTTGGCGACGAAGGGAGTAGCGATTGACGCTTGGGGCTACCACGGCTAGACCACTGCCTACACCCACAGCTACTCCATACCACACACAGCGTCGATTGAGGTGACCCAGAAAGTAGCAAACCCTGCAATTGAATAAACAAATCACCATAAGCAAAAAATCCAAATCAGAGCTTATTCAATTAACTACAAACCGAGTATTGAACAAACCTTGTTGTTTTCAGTAGCGAATGCGCGCTCGTTTTGCCCCTAATTGTCTTGGAGAGTCGAGTGAGCCATTTGACGAGTCAACCCAGAAAGATGCTCATCTTCGTCGTTCTCAGTCTCAGTGGAACCGAAAACAAACTCAACCGGAGAGCCGAGATCTGAAGACAACCCAAAAGACCCAAAAGACCCAAAACGGTACGGTAACTCAAAGGGAAACAGAGACTTGGAAACATCAGACCCCAAGTGCATAAGCACGACGTCGTCATCTATTAGCAACTGAGGAGGCAGCAAAAACTCGCCGTCATCCAAACTCTCCACCATGAATAAGCCTCAGATTTTTTTTTTTTTTAATGCTCAAACAAGCCTCAGAAACAGCAACAAGGAAAGGCCCCAAAACTCTTTTCTTCACCAGATGTCAGTCATGGTTCCCAATTCATCCTTACCCATATTTGTACACATTAGCATCCAGCATGTAAAAAAAGGACATGTTGGCATGGGCTAAATGGAGATCGTGACAGTGATGACATCATCAGTTAGATAATGATCGATTTGGGAAAATCGATACTTTTAGGGTGTCATTTGTCCTTGCTTTTTTTTGAAGGGTGGATCCGTCCCTACCCATATTTGTCAATGGGTGATTTGAGGGTTCTGCCTATTACATTTGCAATGTTTATGTAGCCATATATTATTATGTGTGCTCTTTATTTGTATCAAATAATTTATAAATTATAAT